TTCAGAGCTCTCACATTAATTAGGTTTACTACTTTGAGGTATTTGAATTCTACTTCATATTTCTTCTGTGTCCTAAAGGACCGATTTCTCCATTAAGGGTTGATGGAAGGGGTCTTTGTGTCCCAAGTTATTTAAAATTAAGGCCTCTTGGGTTTTATTTTCAGCTTTAAAATGTGGAAGTGTTATGAAATGTTGAAGTATATGTATGGTTTTTGGAATTGCTAATTAGGTATATTACTCATTAGCACCCTAATTTTACCTTCAGGAATTATCTTGAAATGCTGCTTATTCGATATTTTCTTGTAGGAAATCTTCAGAGACCCTGTAGTACATTTCCATCTGTTTTGCATGGCAGTCTGTGCTTAACAAGTACTTAAATGCACATTGAATAAACGACACATGACCTGGGGATGATAACTTTATGGGAAGAAACGAACTGGTTTTAAACCTAATTTCCTAGATGCGCGACATGTGAGGGGGAGGGAGAGCTTTGTGTGGGTTGGTTCGGGTTAGGAAAAGCAGGTAGCATTCTCCAGCTCCCAGCTCACATATCCCGCGTGCGTCCACTCACACCCATACTCCAGTTTCCTGTGTTCACGAAGTCAAGTGCTGTACTGGAAAAATGAATTGAACTGAACTGTTGTAGTTAGACCCTGAGGAAAATCATGCCCTTTGCTGGGCCTCAATTTCCTTTACCTAGAACGTTATCTAGAAAAGAAGGGTGTAGAGTTCGGTCACTTAAAAACATTGTTTTTCGCTAGTGGGAGCCTTTCTTTAAATGAAATCTTACCAGAAGCCCCCTGTGTAAATGAGATTTTCAAAACTTGCTCTTTGGGGTGGGGGAGCTGTAGGTTGGCACACAAGATGGGCTCAGCTTCTCCCTGCCTCCCTTGGGCAGCACTGAATTACCTTCTAGACACCGTGTCTGCTCTTGTGAGCAGCCTCAAAACCAGTGGGCTGGGACGCATGGCTGGATTTGAGCGGTTTTATAAAATATAGTAGATTTAGTATTCTGCACTACCAAAATCTTTTTTAACCAAGATCAGTTAGCATGTAGTCCTGTATTTAAAAATGGGAAGACATTAGCTAAATACCAAAATGCCTTGAGAAGCAAGTTGATATCGCTGTTTTCTTTTACAGCAAGAATAATAACAACTTTAATGACCACGAGTGACCTTACAAGTAAGTACCCCCTTTTTTGAATTGCGTGCCCTTTGTGCCTCCTTCATGTGTCAATTGTCTTATGGTTTCACGGATCAGCCTGCTCCACTGTACGGTGAGAGGCCAGCAAGTCTCTTCCTGGACATCAGCCCCACTTACGGGACTAAGCATCTGTGTCTTGTAGTTTCTGGGATAGAACGTGCAGCACAAGGTAGTAGAGTCCTATCTTCGTGGAGCCTCCGATCTCACAGTGGATGGAGATGGACATCACGCAACCACTGAGGAATGCTGGGGAATGTGTTTTGGAAGAGTAGGAAGGGGGGAATCTGACCGAGCTGGAGGGGCCCAGGGCGGCAGACTTGAAGGGTGAGATGGGGAGAAGGGGAAGAGTCAGTGACGGGGCGGCCCGTGTGCAGGTCTGTGCAGGGGACACATGGCTTAGCCACAGACAGCAAATGGGAGCTGAGTGAGTGTGAGTGTGAGGACGGGGTCTCCTGAGCTGACAATCATTTGACCCCCACATCCTTGTTTTTTTTTTTTTTTAAAGGGGGAAAATACTTGGATGGACCTAAGAAGAATTTAGCTAATTCCTTAGGCTGTTTTCCACTCCCAAGTTGAGCATATATATTTTTGGGGAAAATGATCAAAACTAATCGTGTCACCTATTCTGTGAAGACTAGGAACATGTCCCTGGCACATAGACCCTCTAAGTAGGCGAATTGTTATTTGAGAAATACTGCTACAGAGCAGTGGGTGCATATGCTGGTCCCTTTGCAGAGGCTTATCTTAGGGTCACACACCTCCCAGGGCTCCGAGAGAAGCATTAAAACTATTCTGGTCAAAGCCTGAACTTGGGTCAGGCGGGGAAAGGGAGAGACAGGTCCCAGTCTTCTCCACAGGATCCGAAGGACTCTCTGTATGGGAAGAAGAGTCAAACTGTAATTAACCAACAAAACAAACCCACATATTTAAAAGTTTGAAAGATTGAGAATGTTCTAGTTGCAATTTGCTTTGTACTTAAAGTGACACCTGTTCTGAAAGTGATCAGTGTATCTGTGGATCTTTTAAAGACAGTTCAGCTGATACCTTGCGTGTTTTACAACCACAGAGATACATTAAATCTGATAAATCTTATCAGAAGAGTGTTCATCAGGTCACTTATGGTCAAGTTTTCCCCCCCAGAAATATTCAGAACCAAAGTTGTTCAAAACCTCTTGTGACGTGGAGTTCCAAGTTTCGTGGGCAGGCTGAGGGGCAGCTAAGTAGGTTTCTACTTAGAGCAGGAGGTGATTTTGTCTTAGGACAGGAGAACAGTACTTGTTAATACATACTTTTTCTTTTTGATTAATTTCAGTTCTTGTGCGATTTGTGATCATGCTTGCTTTGAACCTGTGGGTAACGGCCACAGTACGTCACTACAGGACTACAGTTGTAAAGGCTGAATGATGGTGCATTGCTCCAACACACAAAGCGGTTTCCTAATAACTGAACCAAAGGGGAAAATAAGCTCACTGCTAAATCAAGGTCTTCTATAAATTTAGTCAACTGTTTCAGAAACTTTGAAGCCGGAGCTATTTTAGACATGAGGCACTTAGACACTTGTTTAGAAATGTTGATTCCCTCCCTCTCCTTGGCCTCAGGAGGTGGGGACAGGGCTCAGACCCCTGCAGGTTGAGCATCATGATGAAGTTCTCTCCAAAGAGCTAACTACATCTGGTTTTCAGCTTTCAGAATCTTGTAAGAAATAAATCCTCTCCATGGCACAAACGATTATGAATGGAGTGGGATTTTTCCCAAAGTCAGAAGTGGAACTGTGGTAAATTACTAGGGTTCACTTTCTGGGACTGTTTAACTGTAACACAGATTTAACAGGCTGGCCTTACTGTATCATAATACAATATAGTACCTCCTTATGCTATAGTAAGGACATGGAGACAAGCAAAAACTGGCTTGAGTTCATATACCAAAGTTAGTCCTTTAACCTCATGTAATGCCTTTAAGTAATTCCTAAGGAAAGGTACTATCAGCTGCAGTCTCTACTTAGGATGAGGCAGTCCCGATGAACTTTCTGATTTAAGCATAATGCTGCCATTTTTAAAAGGGTCACACCTTTAGAAAAAAAAAACACGAAACACATCTTGTCCATTAATACAGTAAAGGGTACTGCTGGGTTCTGCCGAGTTCTTACAGATTTCATTCTCATTGTATCATATTCTAAACATAAGATTATTGGATAGTGCATTTTACTATAAAAGTTTATAAACCCTAAAATTTAAAAACTCTTTCCCTTTGTAATTGAATGGCATTATTCTGTTATATGTAAGTCAATAGTGTTTGTTAGAAAATGTTTTAGTTTCCTATGTCAAATAAAACTTTCATATTCTGAACTCTGCTGAGTCTTAAAACTGTCAGTTGCTTTAATGTGATTAGTTTTAAGTTATATAAAATGCTGTTTTAAAAATATAAACTGTGGTTAATGTTTTAGAACTATTGCTTGGAACCAGCAGGAAGAGAAACGTCTTTTTGGTATATAAAGATAAATAACAAATCATTCATTCTGTAGCTTTTACAATCATAGTTGTCATTTTATTTTATTTTTTTTAAAGATTTATTTGAGAGAGAGCATGCGCAAGCAGATGGAGGGGTAGAGGGAGAGAAATCTCCAGCAGATTCCCTGCTGAACATGGAGCCTGACTCAGGGCTTGACCTCATGACCCTGAGATCATGACCTGAGCCAAAATCAAGAGTCGGAGGCTCAATCCACTGAGCCACCCAGGTACCCCTATTTCAAAGTAAGCTGTATGCCCAACATGGGGCTCGAACTCATGATCCCAAGATCGAGTCACATGCTCTACTAACTGAGCCAGCCAGGCTCCCTCATAGTTGTCATTTTCAAAACAATCCAAGTGATTTTTTTTCATATGCAATTATAATCTAACCATTGGTATAAATACAAATTATGTTTTTTGAATCCAACAAATATTTAGTTTAAATACACTTTTTAATTAGAACTTTATCACTGCTTAAAGCTTCTCTCTTAAGAACATACTATCTTAGGTGAAGAGTTCCCCATTTTTCCTTTTCAGGAGAAAAGGGAACAAATATTTGAACTATTCCAGATATCCGACACACATTACCATATTTAATCCTACAACAGTCCTGTAACAAAACAGTCTCAACTTTACAAAAGATGAAAACACTGAAGCTCAGAGGGAATAACCTGTCCCAGATCTGACAGCCAGTAAGTATCCTAAATAAGAACCCACGGATTACCAAAGAAATGCCTTCTCGAAAACCACCTCTCAGCACACTGTTCCTGACAAAACAGGCACCCTGTGTCCTTTCCTTATCCTGGACACTCAAATAAGATTGTTAGATTTGCATGTCCCTTAAAATACCTAAATCAAATCAGCGACAGACTCCTTGCTGAAATTCTTTTTTGTATTTCTCCGTGGACTAAATGACAGGGCGGAGCATTCACAAGTCTGTAACCTTGCTTATGATTGTTTTGCTATACCCATCATAAAAGGCAGGCAAAATTTGGGGGGATAAATTTTATTTTATTTTATTATTTTTTTTAAAGATTTTATTTTATTATTTATTTGAGAGAGAGAGAATGAGAGATAGAGAGCACGAGAGGGAAGAGGGTCAGAGGGAGAAGCAGACTCCCCGCAGAGCAGGGAGCCTGATGTGGGACTCGATCCCGGGACTCCAGGATCATGACCTGAGCTGAAGGCAGTTGCTTAACCAACTGAGCCACCCAGGCGCCCTGGGGGGATAAATTTTAGATGGTTCAGCATTCCAAGACTATTCACAGGAAGAGTATGAACATGCTTATGTCTTAATTTCTTTTATTTAATTTTTTAATATAAAAAGCAGGCATAAAATACAATTACATTACTACAAAGATGCAACAAAAATTTTTTAAAAATCAGGGGGTACGATTTCTGTTCAAAGGGGAGAGCTGATCAAATATTTATGATTATCTAAACCATGCAGTTCATAACTTATTACAATTCCAAACAAAACTCATTATTATGGGGAAGGGAATCGAGGACAGTCCCCCAAGCATAATACCCAGCACTGTCATACAGTGCCTCTTTTCAAAGTGCTTTATGAGTCAACTATGCTTATCTTCACGCCAGATGGAAACTGCAGCCTTCTTCCAGGGGAGGAGACGTGAGTCAGTAGCAGACCGAGAAACTCAGAAGTGATTTGCTCTCATAGAATATTAAACATGTTATTTAAAGCATGTTTCAGGAAGGTAATATAGTGTCTAAGCTTCTCTATTTTACCACGAGAATCCTGTAAGAATAGATTAACAACAGCAGCAAAACTTCTTAAACTATGGTTTGGCAACCCAGAGTACTTCTTTTTGAGGAACTACAGATAAATTGATACAAAAGACATCCTTCAGAGCCAGATTTGTGACTCTAGCCTACGTTAAGTTTTAAAAACACTAACCTTATTTTAGATTTCTTGGTATCCTTTAGTTAGCTAAAGGCATTTAAAATTTTTGATAGATTTTTTTTTAAAAATCTTGCTTCTAGATAGCATATTTTAATACTTTTCAAAAATTCACTATAATTTTTAACAGTAATACCGGCACTAGTTTTCCTTCTACTTCTGTCTCGCTATCCCCACTAAACAAAAGTAAAAAATCCAACTAAGAAAATCCCAGTATTCACTACTTCTTAGTTCTCAATAGGAGGTATTTATGGCGCTAGGAGAAATCAGGTGTGAAGAAATAAAGCAACTTTTGGTCTTTTATCTGGGAACCTTTGAAGCCTCAAGAAAAAGAGAAGCTGGCACAAAATCAGGTTGTTAAACCAAGGCAAGTGTTGGGAGTGTTGGGAAGAGAACATTTGGATGGGTGTATGTATTCATGTATGTACATGAAACCAGCAACAGGGTAAAAAGTAAATTCTTACCCAGGGTCAGAATTTTTATTAAGCGCATTTCCATTAGCGGGAGAAACCACCTTAGAAACCCTTACGTTAAACCATATAATGTGAAGAATCTCCATGGGAGAGATTTTTTTCACCCCCTAGAATACCTTTTTTTCCCCAAAAAACCTCACATTAATTTTCCTTGTAGAGTTGCACCACACCATGATTCTCCGTATTCTCTAATATATACAGCATTCAAAATTTAACTTTTGCCATTTTTACTCAAATATTTCAATTACTCATGTGTAAACTTCAAATTATTTCACCTTAATAAAGTTTATTAAAAATATATATATATATATATATATATACTCTCCAATTCAGAATAATATGATAGAACCTCCCATAGTGTAACAAAATCTTCATATAAAATATTAATTCAGTCTCCTTTTAACAAGTCTAATGAATGGAAATATTTATTCTATATAAATTTTATATATTTTTCATTTTAAAATCTTACTTAAAAACAAAAACAAAACAAAACAAAAAAAAAAAACGCTGTGCCCTCAAACCAGAACTGCAGAATATCCCTGTGAGGGAAATGGCATGCGTCTCTGGTCTTAGCACAGACAGCATGGAAGAGCGCAGGCGCGGTAATGAAAGAATAACAAGATTCAGTTTTAGTACATCAGTAGGCCAGAGGCCACTCTTCAGTTTCACAACAGTATCTGTATTTTGGGGGTCTAACTCTTTAAACATTTCTACACTGACCCCAGAGGGAATCAATGAAAAATGTCTACTTCCTTCATCAAAATATTAGATGATGTATTTCAATATCACACCAAACCCTGTGTATGTGTATGTACATAAAGAGACTGATAAAAGACTAATTTTTTTAAACTTGATGCTTATCATTAATGCATAATGTAGCAATATAAAACACATTTTTCTGGGATAATGAGAAAACTAGCAGAAATGGTCCTGCATAACCTATAACTTTTAACATAATTTTAAAAAATAATCAGGAGCCTCTGAGGCTACTTCTTCCCAGTTACCAGTTTTCTTAGCCCAATCCTGAAATATTGCCATACACAGTTATGTGTTTGAGGGATCACATTTAAATATTTAAAATATATCTACAGTATGTCTTAGTTTTCTTTATATTTGAGATAATCTTAGAATCTTGAGTGTGAAAATGTAAAAACAGTCACAAATGTCTCTACCAGAAATAAAAACACATCTAGGGTAGCCGGCAAATTCAAAGCCAAGAAAACATCTCATAGTCACACGCCAATGCTGCGGTCTGTAAGAAGAGTGGGGGGAGTAATAGATACACATAAAAGATATATTAGTTCCAATAGTATCCATTATTGTTTCTATCACCAATACTTAAAAAAAAATTGTTATACAATCAAAATAGGCTGACATTGATAAGTATTACATGTAAAAATAGTGCACTATTTTTCTTTTGCAAAGCGAATTTGCATCCTAAGAGCTGGTAAACACTTTTTTTCAAAATACAGAAAAGGGTGAGACAAAAAAATTAAATTAAGGCATTCACATGGGAAAAGTTGCCTATCATGAAGCATTAGGAAATTGATATAATTAACGTCAAACTTCCTGTTACAGTAACTGCTTAAACACAAACACACAGCTTCCATGGGGTATACACAAATGAGTGATATAAACTCCAACATTATGGCTTTATACAAGTGCATAGTTGCAACTGCAGTAAGTTATGATATCTGATTAATGTGAATAAAAAAATAAAATGGGGCATTTGAAGAACCCTCTTGCAGTTATTACAGTACTATGTATATTGTGTGTGTGTGTGTGCATAGAGAGAGAGACACACACATATACATGCACACACACAGTCTAATGGTCACTTCTTAAAGATGCAGTCTCTATCACTGTAGTGGAATCCATTCCCAGACTCTTCTGGTAAATGTGCTGGTGAAATCTCTCTGTTGATGCTGAAAAGATGATTTCTTTAAACTTTAACTCTTCTCAGTCCTTTTGTGCAATGTAGTGTGAGTGACTGCCAAGAGAGCTTTATGGAACAAGTTTCGAAGAGCTGCATATGCTATTCTTGCTCTATTAACCAATCATTGTTGGTTCATATGTGTGTGTGTGTGTGTGTGTGTGTGTGTGTGTGTACATACATATACATATGTATGTATGTATGTGTGTGTTTGAGTATCAGTCTCTCAGGAAAATACAGCTTTTTAAGAAATTTTGGGCCATCATATTTCAGTCTTGTTTTAACTGGAAGAATATGATCACCTTGAATAATGACTGCATTCATAGAAGGCAGCTAGCTGGAAAAAAAGGAAAAACAAAGTTAGTTGATAGAGTAAAATAGTTTAAGAGATTGTTAAATTCTTTGAAAAAGCATTCCATTTATATAATTAAACTATGTAGTCTTCCAACTCCTATACTCTTAACACCTAAATCATGCATAAAACATATTTACTATATTACTTTTCTTATTTTTAGGTACATGCAATTATATTCTTACATATTCCTATATTTTCTACAAACATGACACACAAGTTTTAATACGGTTAACTGGCTATTAGAGTTAGATAATACACCACTGAGTGACCCAAGTGAATGTAAGTCTGACTTGGAGATTAACCGCTAGCTGCCTCATGTAGCTGAAAAGAACAGAGGGCTTATGGACCAGGTTCTACTTGACTGTTGGACTCTTAGCCACATTTTTTAAATCTATAAAATGGGAACAAACACGTTGTAGTAGTAAATATATGTAAAAAGTACTCTGTATATCTTGGTTATAAATACCTCCCAATAATATATGATGTAAGTCTATTTTTGCAATATGCTTATTTAGGTTAAGACAGACATTACTTCTTTTAAATCCATTCTGTGTAAAAGGTTTGACCATGAGGTTCAATTTTCACTCAGATCTCCTTGAGCCACGGTTAACCAAACTATTTATGTGTTCTACAAGCACAAGAACTTTCACAGCATATCAATAAGCATTCTTCAGCAAGAGGAACATTAACTTTTCACAGAAAGCAAACATCTCACAGCATGACAAAGAAAAGCAAAATCAGAAACAATATTTCACAGCACTTACTAGACTTACAAACTATTTACAGCTTCAATTCTTGCACGTTAGAGAGAAGGAAGGAGGGAAGGAGAGGGGGATGGAGGGAGGAAGGAATCCCATGCTATGTTCACAAACTAATACAGTTGTTGAAAACATTGTAAATTTTACTTCTCTGAATATGGCTTCTTTGGAATGAACAAAAAGTACCAGAATTAGCTTCTTTTGTTATTTGTACATGTTTCATTCCTAAGATAAAAAATTGTAATTCCAACTATGTTGAAAATATATAGCCAATAAAGATTCTGAACATAGCACTTCACTTTTATAACTTAACATGGGAATTTCAGTTAGAAACTTTTCTGAAAACTACTTTTCAAATACATACTATTAAAAACAACTTAATAAACTTTCAAAACTAGTCAAAAACAATGAAAACCCAAGTGCAAATCACATGCACTACTTGGAAATACTAAAATAACTCATTTTTCATTTTTTGATTTACCCCATTTATTTCTTCAGAAATCAAAAACATCGTCATCATCATCACCACCATCAACATCATCAAATGACCAATCCCAGTCTTTAAATGCCAAATCAAGCAATCTGCAATAGGAGGTTTGCAAATTCACATTCTAGCACTCTTTCGAAATGGCAACTTAATATGATAATTATCTAGAAATCACACTTTGTGCTGTGAAGATTTTAACTCTCCCTTCATCAATAACAACAGAGTCAAAAGTAAGATGGTAGCACACAGGGAGATCTTCTTTCTCTTTATATGTAAGTGCATATAAAATTAGCCAGGTCTGATTTCTAGAATACCAGAGACCTGAAGACAGGTAATATTTAGGGATAAGATATGAGCTTCTCCCCACTGGGCTCAGAAGAAGATGTAACCATCCTGATGCCCAGTTTGATTTGTACGAAAGCTCAACATCTGTCAACACTCCCTTCAAAAATGGACCCAGATTGTCAGCTCACGTTTTTCTAGAACCAGTACCACAAGTCCCAGTTTAAAGAGAGAGTAATACTAAGAATGCAGCTTTCTCAATTCTAGCTGGACACAGTATGCTCAATGGGTCACCAACAGTGATGCTCTCCATGAAAAGCCATGATTAAGAGAAAAACTACAGGTATGTAAGAATCATTAGCAACTTATCTTGGCTAAATAAACTGGACTTAGAACAGGGTTATATGTGGTCTTTTCTTTCCAATCCAATCCAACCATCTAATATCGCTATCATCTTTATTTTTAATAAAAATAGGTGTAACTTTCATTGTTTTAACTGTGAGGTTCATGAATCAACTTATGCCAAGAACTCATTTAGTCCCCAAAATCTCATTTGTGACCTCAACTTTAAAGTTGGTTCTTGGGGCACCTGGGTAGCTCAGTCGGCTAAGCGTCTGCCTTCGGCTCAGCGCATGACCCTGGAGTTCTGGGAGTGAGCTCTCCATCAGGCTCCCTGGTCATCGCGGAGTCTGCTTCTCCCTCTCCCTCCGCCCCTCCCCTGGCTCCTTCTCTCCCTCTCAAATAAATAAAAATTTTAAAAAAATCACGCTACTTTTTAAACTTGAATTTATATGGTTTACTCAATGCTGTTTATAATGCATATTTGCAGGTGTTATACCAAGAGATTCTGATATAACTGGGCTGAAGGGGGAGTGCGGCGCAAGTATCTGCATTTTTTCAAAAAGATTTTTATTTATTTATTTGAGAGAGAGAGCACAGGCAGTGGGGAGAGGCAGAGGAAGAGGGAAAAGCAGGCTCGCTGCTCAGCAGGGAGCCCGATGCAGAGCTTGATCCCAGGACCCTGGGATCATGACCTGAGCCGAAGGCAGACACTTAACCGACTGAGCCACCGTGGTGCCCTGAGTATCTGCATTTTTAAATAAAAAATCTGAAGTGAATTCTAATGCATCTGGTTGACTTTGGTAATCACTGACAAGAGTATGTTGACAGATGGTTACCTTAACTGAAAGGAAATAAACCAACTCAAATTACTCTATTTCAAAATGTGCTAAATGTAGAATATATCACATTTTTCTAGGCTTACATTACATAGACAGTAACTTGTAGCTAAGGTACTGTTTGGGGGACTGAGATCAGTGGGCCGTCCTGGGTGTTCGAGCCCCAATTTTGAAAAATCTGCGTTTCATACCCTTCCAAAACCTTTGAAGTGTGTGTGAAGTGCGCACCCGTGTCACAGTTTTCAAATTTTTAAAAGTTTGGTTACTAGGTTGTTAGCACAATGCCTGGTGAAACTTCCCTTAAAGCCCCATCAGCCCCTGCCAGTCAGCCATCTAATGCTTGACATTGCAACATGAGAAACTTTTTCTAACTTGGTTTCTTCCCTTCATATTCACTGTCAGTACCCTAGTGAAGGAGCTCATTAAGTTCACACACACCAACCTCTTGCTGAAAGACTTCTATCTGAAGAACAAAATAAAAACCCCCACAGCACAATGCACTGGGTCCTTTTCAGTCTGGTTCAATGCTTTCTCTCCAGTGACATCTTCTGCCACTCCCTGTCATTACCCTCTCCCCACTCTAACCCAATACAATGTTACAAACACATAACACGGAAGTAATTCTGACAACTCGGTACCTCTGCACCTAACATTCTGCCTACCATTGTCTTTTCCCTTATTTCTTTGTCTGGAAAATTACTGAACCTCCCTTTCTGAAGATCTTTCTTGATGCCCTCAGGCAGAATTCTCCATGCTTCCCTGTAACACTCACTCACGCCTCTATTACAAATAACATTCAAAAAAGTACCGTAACTACCTGTTTGATTTTCTATCTCCTCCATTTAATTGATCGGTGGGTACAAACTGCAGGCCTGTGAAACTTACTGCCAAAGACTGCTTTGGAAAGGAGCATTAGAACTTTGAGTTCTGCTAGAAGTACGTGACACTGCCTGTTTCTTCACATGCTGCCAATAGCACGTTTCTTAATCCTTAACAGTTGGGCAGGTTTTACATTTTACTTTTAACTTAATTTTAACTTCTTTACTTAATAATCAAGTTGATCACTTTTTCATATTTATAGTAATGCCTGTGTGTTCCTCACTGATTTTTATATTGGGAAGAGGCAATCTTCTTTTTCTTAATGACTTAAATAAGAACTCTGTATAGAGAGATATAATCCATCTTTCTCATTCACATTGCAAATATATATATGGTGTTTTTAAAATTACAAGGCTTTAATTTTTGGTTACTCAATCATTAACTTTCTTTCTTTGCTTTTACTCTTAGGAAGTTCTTCAATCCAAGATCAGATACATATTCACCTCTTTTCTTCTGTGTCATTTAATGGATTTATATTTGACATTTCAAGTTGTATACAGCTTTTTCATTTTTATCCAAATAATCAGTCTGTTAACTTTCTAATATTTATAAATGGAAAAGATCAAAACTAAAATAATGATAACATGGGGCACCTGGGTGGCTCAGTTGGTTGAGCATCCAACTCTTGATTTCAGCTCAGGTCATGATCTCAGGGTCATGAGATGGAGCCCTGTGTCGGGCTCTGCACTGGGCATGAGGCCTGCTTAAGAGTCTCTCCCTCTGCCCCTCCCCCCCAATAAATAAATAAAATAATGATAACACAATAGCTCCCCCCCACCCTTAGGTTGTAACTGTGTTGGCAATGCTTTATTTCTTAAAACTGGGTAAATGAGCATTTGTTGCATTTTTGCTTTATACTTTTCTGTGTGGCTTAAATATTGCATTTTAAAGAAGACCTTTAAAAGAAAAATAATTAAAGAGAAATGCCCTCAGCAAAGACCAGCATTCTGTGTCCTACTTTGGAACAAACTAAGGATCTCTCCAAACTATCTTTATCACAAATCAACATTATATTCACAAATTTTCTACTTTTCCAGCATTGTTTTTTTTTTTAATTCAAAATTACCAAGAAAACATTCCTTTGGAATAGCATTTCTACACATTATGTTTTATAAGCTGTCAATTAATTCATTTCCACTCGTATCACTGTGAGGCAGTGCAGTATTACAGCTGAGAGTGCAGGATCTGGAACTAGACTACCTGGATCTGAACTCATGGCTTTGTTGCTTATTTGGTGTGTGATCTCAGATACACAGAGCTTCTGTGCCTTAGCCTCCATGTTTGTTAATTGGAGACATTAAGAGCTAAATCACAGGGTGGTTATGAGGATAAATAATTTAGTACACTTAAAGCTCACAGAAGAGTGCCTGGCATATAATATGCCCTCAAAAATGTTGTCTTCTACAATAGTAACTAACACTTGTTTAACTATCACTTCCCTACAGAAAAAGGGAAGTGCTGCCAAGAGTTAAAAGGAGAATCAGAACCAGGAATGTCACAAAAGCCAAAGGAAAAAAAAATTTAATGGTGTGGTCGTTAACAAAGACAAACACCAAGAAAAAGTAAAAAAAAAAAAAAAAAAAAAAACACATGATTATTTATAGGTATTATGTTTTAGTGCATATATAAATACATATAAATACATTTGATGATTTTGATAAACGTCTAACAAAGCCAAACATTTGTCTTAAGAAAGACACCATGCGAGTTAGTTCAACTAAAGCTAGACTATACAAAGAGCTAGATATTAAATTACTGCTGATTATCGACCCGAAATGCTGTTCCTCGGTGTTCCTGGATGATCCTTTCACAGCTCTACCAATTTGTCTATTGGAATGTTATAAGTTAGTGGAATGTTAAAGGACATCAAGTCCAATGCTTGACTCCCCTTCTAGAGCCATGCTGTTCTGTCAGACTACATACACATGACAAATTGAGGAGGATGCTCTTTCCCAATGTCACCAAGCAGTCACCTGAATCAGGTATTAACACTGTTTTTGTTTTTTTTTTAAGATTTATTTATTTATTTGAGAGAGAGAGAGAGAGAGAGAGAGAGAGAATGAGAGATAGATAGCACGAGAGGAAAGAGGGTCAGAGGGAGAAGCAGACTCCCTGCTGAGCAGGGAGCCCGATGTGGGACTCGATCCCGGGACTCCAGGATCATGACCTGAGCCGAAGGCAGTCGCTTAACCAACTGAGCCACCCAGGTGCCCAGGTACTAACACTGTTGGTGCAGGGCATTCACTATTCTAGAGCAAGCAAAGACTTCCAATTTTGGAAATCTCTGACTGCCTGATACTTTTCCCTTGCTGAGTTACAAATGCGCCTCTCTGCTTGGTTCTTGTTCTAATACATCATCTACAGAAAAGTCCTCTAAATCTTTACTGCTGTTTACCATCTCCCATCCTTCCAAATAATTTCTTCAGAAGGCTAAATATCCTTAGTTCCTTCACTTGCTGCACATGTAACACTTTCAAATGATCTATTTACTCCCCTCTGTTATTCTCTTCTGTATACCCTCCAATTTGTGTATACTACTCTTAAAATGTGACACCCAAAATGAAATGCAAACTTTAGGGTGATTCATATAAGACAGACACAGATACAATTTTATGAATTAATGAAGCAATGGAGTCACAGATGTTAAAGACAATGGAAATAATGCTGCAGACACATAATAAAATACAAAACTGTAAAATGTGCCCATCTTTATGCTTAAAATTTCAAAGAGTATATTAGACAAAAAGTGTTCACAAAAATACCCTATACATCTTAGAGTCAGTTTTGATATTAGCTTTATCTACATGCATAGTTGTGAGAGAAAGAAATCCCTATTACTTACTGTTGCTATGTTAAATGTATTAAAAAATCAATGAAGAATGATTCGAAGGGCAGGGCCAGAACTAAAACAAAACAAAAAGCAACAAAAATAAAAAGTAAATGTGCCTCCAAAAGACCAAAGTGCTAAAGTGGTGAAGAAGGGCATGACAAAGTATTTATAAGTCAGTGAACATGAAAATTGTTATGTAATTGAAAACATGCCTCACTTAGTCTGAAATCCGCTTCCATAAATGAATTCTATGTGTTATCACAAGTAGTGAAATCACTAATTTATGAAATAGTACCAAAGAGTAAAATGTGTTAAAGGAGTAGAGTTCTTACCGTCCTGAATCTGAAATTATTTGCCCTTCTAGAGTCTCAATCAAAAAGAAAGATAATAATACCTATCTATTCTACTCCACAGGAGTATTTTCATGATCAAATGACAGAATATGCAGAAAGCTGAATGAGAGAACAGATTATGGAAGCACTTTGGAAGCTGTGAAGCACGAGATAGTGTAAGCTATTACAATAGCATAGCATCTATGCACTAATAGTTCTACAATATTAATAACAGAAATTTAATTTTTAGATGTTCTGCATATGGCACATGGAATGACCTTCAGTGTCTTTGAATTCTTTGAGTTTCTTCAGCTTAATTACTATCATATAATCACTAATTTTATAGTATTTAGTTTTCTCATACCTCACAGAAAAATTCAACATTTTCACTGCTGAAACACCAATTCTACCTTTGTCATTCTAAATTACTTCCTTGAGATAACAGTTTCAAGAAAAGTTTCATATAAGATGTTTGTGGTTACAATGAAAAGATTTCTGGTAACACAGCCAGTGCACACCATTATTCATATACTGAAGGTCCTGTGTTAGGGAACAAAAAGGGTACCTGAAGTCAGATACCTGATCTTACGTGTTTTATCCTTTAGCTAACGAACCAAACCTTCATGGTCATTTCAATGAATAGCAATATCTACAGATGCCATAGCTAGTAAGCCAAGAAATGGTTATTCTGAATCAAGAATGAAATGATTATTATAGCCATATGAAAATAGTTCCATCAAAATGTTTTGTGCATTCATCATTATCTGGGAATTTATTCCCTAGTCCCAACTCCGCCTCAAATACAAGGAATGCCCACTTTACCCATTAGTTAATATTTGCATTTTTAAGACTGATCTATTGCTCTTTAAATCAGAAACAAGTCATTATTCTAAACTTATAGATGTGAATTAAGAAGATTTCAGTCGTGCTTCCCAAGTCATCCAACATAAAAGAGGCTTAAGAGGTTTGAAATACTAAACATAATGTGTGCACCTGACACAGGTCTGTGTGTACGTTGTCTACTAAATCATATTTTAAATTTGTCAGTGTGCTTATAAAATCTTAAAATATTATGATTACATACATAAACATGACAAAAATGAGCCCTTTATATATTTTTGGTTGAATTTAATGTATGTGTGTGATCTAGTAAACAAATTTGCACTACATTTAAATAAATCAATGAATGAGCCATATACACTAAAACAGTTTCAAACATTTGGTATTCCACGGTTCAATGACATACCAAGCAAAGGGACACTACAATTAGGAAAAGTCTGTAGCTGAACATAAATAGCAAAATATAAAAGATACCAATTTTTAATCACATTTTGATTTATTACCTTGGTTTGTTTGGGGCAAGCTGTCGACTTGGCCGTCTAATAGACTGGTTTTGTTGTATCTTCATCGAAGTTCTAGGAGATGACCGTGCAAAAGGGTCTGGAGCTGGAGGCTTTTTAGGGATCTTTTTCACCAACCGACTAACCCACTTCTGCTGCTCTTCTGTAGAATTTGCTAACAACAATAGATTCTTTGCCGTCGAAATATCATAGTAAACTGTAAAGAAATATTTGAAAAAAATTAATGTCTAAATTCATCTGAACATAAATAATATTGATGAAGCAAGTAATTTACTATTTACCTTTGCAAGGTGCTATAATCTCCTCCTTTTTGTCCATGTGATCTTTATGACATTTAATATGGCAGCGCCGGCACTCTAAAGCAGGAGGAGGTTTAAACATATGCCACAGTGGCTTCATACAAGCCTCACAGTTGGTTGGGAAATGATAGAGAGTAGGAATAAATTCATGTCCTTTATGGCAAATATAATTTGATTTTTCTCCCACTGGCTCCACTGGAAATTCTTGTTCCTTCTTACTTTCTCCTTCATTGGCATACAGAATCTATAAATAGCAAAAAGAATAATGAGTGATTTTCAACAGAAATTATTTTTTACGTAGTAATTCTTACAGTGTAAATAAAATAATATTAGCCTAAATCATTCAATGAGAAGAAAATGCATTTGATGTTCAAACATTAGTAGGTTCTGTCTAATCAAGAGCTTCTATGAGAAAAGTCACTGGGACCGTCACTTGGCTCACATTTCAGAAAAAACCTATCTTGTTCAAACATGCCTACTTATTTTCTTCACGATATCTTACTATGTTTTAGCAATTTAATCTGAAGAGGCCAAAAGGTAAATTTTCCCTTGATGGGTGTTAGAACGTTTTCCTGGGAGGGAGTGTTCAAAAGAATCCCTCAAAGAGATGTGGCAATTATACAGATTGATACTCTACGATTCTCAAAAACAGGCGCGTGATAACTGCAAACACAGCTTTAACGGAAAGATTTGTATTTGGAGAGCTGAGGAAGAAAAGAGGAAAGGATGTATAATACACTCCAAATAAACATCATAACCATACAGAAAATAAGTCGCCAACTCTCCCACAGTACACCAAGCACAACCGCTTTTATATAGAAGGAACTCAATTACTAATTATTGGTTTGACTAATTTTAAAAATGGAAGTAGAGAGGGAAGAATTTGGCTTCACTTTAAATTGGAAGCAAAACGGTTACTGGGTGCAGAATTTAACTTCATAAGCAACTTTTTAAATTTTCTAGAGAGCTAAGCATAAAACCAGAAACAGAAGAGAAATAAACATCCTAACAAGGGTGCCTGGCTGGCTCAGTCAGTAAAGTATGTAACTCTTGATCTTGGGGTTGTGAGTTCGAGCTCCACGTTGGGTGTAGAGATTACTTAAAAATAAAAAAAACTTAAAAAAAAAAAAGCAAATAAAATAAAATTAAAATGTCATAACACACCTTGAAAACAAGGACAGCAAAGGCCAGAAACATGATATAAACTCACTAAACTTTAACAAGTGCAATGGAGAGAGGAATGAAGATGTATCCAAACAGAATAAGCATGAAAGACAGAAAAAACAAATGACCTTTAAATGGGACTAAAATTGAAAGGTAATATAAAGAAGGCCCAAGAATAAAGAAATCTGCTATGTCTTGTCATACTGAGAACCTTAGTCTAAAGGTGAAAAAAAAACAAAATAAATTCAACCAACCAAAAACAATAAAGCTATTTACCTGAAATATCCTTGGAATTTCTTTAGCATCTGCTCTATATACATCTGTCTGTGTAACTGGTCGGACATGAAATAATTTGCTATAAAAGATTTTTAATAAAGTAATAAAATATTACCAAAGGATCAAATTACATTAGTTATCCTATATTTATGTCAGAAGTTAAAACTGACTTTCGACCCATGTTAGAAGGTCAGAGGATACCTTCTTGGTTCTATCAATTCAATCACTCCTTGAGATTTTGAGTATTTCCAGGAACTCAGAAATTTTCTAATTAGTTTCAGAGAACAACATATTAAAGACCCATGAAATAAAGATATTTTAGCTAACTCTATATCCCAGACTTTCATCTCTATGAAGCAAATACAAGAAAATGTAAAACAGTATAGTACGAGCTATACTATATGAGCCTATCTATTTACATACTATATGAGTAATAAATAGCACTAATTTGACAAAAAAGGTCACATTACTCTCTTTAAAAGAGAAAGTTTCTAAATATTCTAATAAAAACACTTACTCTATATCTAAAACCATGTAAGGATTAGATTGTTCTTTATCTTGTTCACTGTCATAGAAAAGAATCTTCTTACTGCTTACAATCACATACTGTTAAAGAGAGGGAGGGAAGGAATTAATGACTAAAGTTAATATATATCTTATTTTCTTTGAAAATAAATTCTACAGCAATAAAAATCTTATAAAATACTTAAATAACTAAGAAGTTCTCAATATATCCTTAGAGAAGTCTTTCTTAAAATAACAATAAATTTAGTTTGCATACATTTTAAATAAGCAAATTGGAGAGGAAATAAATACAAGTGTTTTTGGGGTTGACTTAGCTTCAAAATCCAGTAACACAGGTAACCTTATTGCTATGGTTTGAATGTCTGTGTTCCGCCCAAATTTTTATGTAAAACCCTAACACCTGAGATGGTATTAGCGGGAGGGGCGCCTTTGGAGGTGAATGAATAGGTCATGAGAGGAGAAACCTCCTTAATGGGATTAGTGCCCTTATAAAAGGGGCTCCAGAGATCCCTAGCCCCTTCCCCCATGTGAGGACACAGCAAGAAGTCTGCAAACTGAAAGAGGGCCTTCACCAGAACCCAACAATTTGGCATCCTGATCTTAACTTCCAGGCCCCAGAACTGTGAGAAATAAATTTCTACTGTTCATACACTACCCAGTCTGTTTTGTTATAGCAGCCTGAATACACTGAGACATTTACCAAAAATGAACATAATATCAATAAATCATAGTAACAGAGGAAAAGAAATTAATAGGTCTTTCTATCATACCCAGAGTTGTTTTCCCACTGAAACAGCAAAACACCAAGGCCAACAGACTTATGTTTTCCTAACACCAAAACCTGTTTTATTATGATGATGATGAAAGGTTTTTTTTTCCCTTCACAAAGATACATTTTATCACATCATTCCAAGTCAGGAAGTGCAAAGTTTTATGTGTCTAAAAGTTCTAGTTATATGTATCTTACAATTACAAATGTAAAACGGCTAGAGCTAAACCAAAAGCAAATAAAAGAACCATATTCACAAGTATCAATTACCTTTTTAACCCATCCAAACTTTTTAGTGTTGTTTCGTACAGGCAATGAAAGCCATCCTTCTAGTCTTGATTCTATAAATAAGCAGAAGATATGAGGATAAATTTACCAATTCTCCTAAGAAAATGAGGAATTCAGTAAAATTTTAATATAAAAATCACAGAACATATCAAATATGCCCTTCAGAATTTATCATTACACATTATCTAGGCTATAACAATTAAGCAGGATCAGTATAAGCAAGTTACGGAATGCCAAACAAAATCCAGGTTACAGTACATTGAAAATACATATTCTATAGCTTATAAAGTCAAATGCTCCCTGCTGATTAAATTCATGCATCTGCAAAGTTCAGCAGAAAAGGTACAAGAAAGAGAAGCAGTTCTCTATTCTCACTAGTGCACCTGTATTAGAATTCCTTATTTTTCCTTTGGAGGCCTATTTATTGATATAGTGCATATGCATCTTCTTCAAAGAGAACACATTTTAAGTGAGTAATTACATGTTCAGAGAAAATGGATTTTTTAAATGGCTAAAATAAAATGAAATAAAATTGTGTATATTACAGATCAAATTTGGTTAATGAAGAGCAATATAACTAAAACATTTCTAAATTCCAAAATAGCAAAATCAGTAAAATTCTAGTTCAACAAAGGAAACTGCCTGAATCCTCAGAATTTGTTCCAATGGCATCTGATCAGTACCATTTAATGAAATAATTAGGTGCAACAAGTATTTCTGGAGGTTATTCTTAATAGTCACTTATTGAACTGTGCTACATGCTTAACATCAATTTTCTTTAATCCTTACAACCCCACAGAAAGGTTACAAAGGGATGCACCTCTGACTCCAGAACCTATACTCTTACTCTCTCACATCAACAACCTTCTAGACTCTATGAACAGAAATGCTGTCATTAAAAACAGCCTACATAACATAACTGTGTCGATGTGGCCCTATACTAAATCAGATCATCTCTAACAATGAGTACACTGAATTTTATTGCTAAAATCTAAAACTCCAATACAATCGCTTGTGACTTATGTTATATATGGTTATATAGCTGGGCAATGTGACAACAATGTAAATAACTATAGCTATTTCACTTTGCATTCAATTAGGTAAGAGACTAAATTCTATCTTATATTCAACTGCTTATACACTAATTTCCTATGGCATTTACATTAAACATGGTTTGTACTTATATGAACTTTGTGTTAAAAGAGATTTTATATGTTTTCCATCTAGTTTCTTCACTTAAACTCTTAAGTCCTTTCAGGGCAAAGACTGGGCCAAATTGTCTTAAACTCTCTTTTATGGCCTAACACAACATTGACTAACTAAACACTCAATGAAAACCTACATACATCTTCTCAAACAGTCTAGGTGGGTTTTTTTGTACTGTCACTCTTAATATGAAACTTCAGAAAGAATTTCTCGTTGGCTGAAAACGGATGACACAGGCAGTAAAACCATATGCTCTTAAATGATATAAAGTTGACAAAATAAGTCTATCAGATGTAATAGCAATGCCATATGACAATACCTTTAAAAATTCTTTGTTCATGCAGCATTTTCTTTTTAACTGAGACCAGCACAATTTGTTAGAGTTAGTGAATATTAGTTAATGTTATAAAAATTTTGTAAAAGGACTGAAATTAAGGGTAGTGGGGAAAACCCCAAAGGTGAAAGATTTTCAGGATATCACCTGTACCATTAGGTTCCGATGAAATAGGTAAGTAAGGCAAAGATTCTTCTTCTGAGTCAGAATCAGAGTCAAGAAGCATATGAGAACTGGAAGGCTTAGTGGCAATATTGAGAGAAGTAGAGGAACGTTGGTAGGTGAATGACATGGATTCCATAGTGCGTGATTGAGTGATATGAACTAAACACCCAACATAAAAGGAAGTAAGAATGCAGAAAGAAGTTAAGAAAATAAAGTGAAAATTTGAAAAAAGAGCTACCTATAATATATAAAGAGCTAATTTAAGTAACTGAGTATGTGGAATTTTCTTTTGCATTTTTTTCACAAGAATTTTTGTCAAAAATCAATAAATAAAGTTTAAACAGTTGTGTGAATCCCCACTCTAAGGAGTATGTTTTTTCTTAAAGAAATGACAAACATTTTTCTCAGGAGCAGTCAATCTCAGGGCTTAACACAATCAACAGCTTTATATTTAAGACAAAGGCTTTCAATAAAAATAACATAAAAGCCGAAAATAAATCTGTACCGGGAAATCCATCATCTGCCTCAGCATCCCCTGGTCCGCTGCCTATACTGGAACTATCCAGACCGATATGCAACGCCTGGAGCTGTGACCGCAGCTGCTCAATGTCACTATCTTTACTGTCCAGTGTCATCTGCAGTTCAATTCGAATCTGGCTCTCTTCGGCTATTTGCTACAAGAGATTACATTAAATTAATTGGATGTCACATACCTCATAATTTTGCTTAATTCAGTAACAATTCTGAAGTAATAGAAATGTTCTATAACCAATAAAATATATATAGACATAAAAATACTTCTACTTCTTAAAAAGAAGTCTTCAATCTAGAGTTCAAAAAGTATTCTTACAGCCTGCATTTCATTCAGTTCTTTCTGATACTTGATCATCTGCTGGGTCAATTTTTCACGTTCAGATTTAAGCTCCATATGTAGCTTTCTGTTCTCTTTCTCTTTTCTCCGCACATCAGTGTCACTACCACGCTTGACAGGTTCTTTTCGATTCATTATCTCAGCCAACTTATTCACAGCCTTCAAAATATAAAAATAAGTATGTAATCAAATAAATCATATTGATGGTTCCTGATATTTCACCAATAGCAAGTTATGTGACCAATAATAATCTTCCCTTTACACACACGGTAACAGAGAAACACGGTCTATATTAAATAATACAGTCCTTCATTATTCATTATCCTTCTCCTTCTTCTTAGTTTTTCACTCTCATGTTTTCTGAGGAAGGTAATTTAAAATGTTTATAGGTTGGATCTGATGTCACTTTCTACCACTTTGAGTTTTTAGTTTCAAGAGAGACTTTTACTGGGCAGATCCACTTTTATCCTGGAGGAAGAAAATTTTGCATTGGCGGCATCACAGTAGTAAAATACAGTATGTCCAACCAGAGAACTGAGCATCTGGGACCCACAAAGATTCATGCTGTAAATACACAACCACAGAGTTGGCAGAAAGATGGTTCAAGAGCCAAAGGTGCCTTTTTCAGACTAACCCTTTCTCAGGCTGTCAGCAAATGTTCACTCTAATTTCTTAAAAGCAAAAAAACTTACCAGATGACAATAAAAATTTAGGAGGGAATGTGATTTCAATATGGAAAAATCAAGGAAACTTAAACACTGAACTGGACAATGTTAGCCAAATCTAGCTGCTCGCAACTGGGCAAAAACCAGGGAATTGTGATGGTTCACAAATACCGATATACTCAATGACCGCTACAGTCAATCTGCAGAGGGAGACTAAAAAATTTTCAAAATCCTCTTTATACTTTATCACACTCACTTGAGTTTTAAGTGTTCTCTCTGTAAGCAGCTGCTTTTCAAACTGTGCTTTAATAGCAGCTGCGCTGATCTCCTCATCTTTCAACCGTGACAGCTCTGAAACACGGGGAAATGTCAAGATTATATTAACAACTACAGCAGTGACAAAACATTAGCCATATTTAAAACAAATTTTATTCTTTGTTAATACATACGTTCTTGGGCATCTTTCAATTTGTTATTTAATTCTTCTTTCTCATTTGCAAGATTGGCAACATCACTAGTTAGTGTCCTATTTGTTTCTTCAAGCTAAAATATGAAGTGGGAAAAAAAATCATATCCCAATTTACAAAATCTAAGTTATAAAGCAATTATTCAAAATAAAAATAGACTAGAATGCTGCTAAAACTCTTATTTTTCTAGGTACATCTATCTCTACATTTTGTGGCTTTGTGGAACCTTACGGAACTTCACCCTTGATGAACATTGCGCTAACTATCACAGACTTTGTGTGCACCCCAGAAAGCCAAAACCTGCTCCTTCTCTCAAAAATCCTTAGCAGCATTTTTAATGAGAAAAACATTTAATAAACTAAAAACAAATACTACAACAAAGCTCTGCATTTCATCATGTAGAATAAACAAATTTTAAAACGGTAGTATTTCTTTCAGAACATTTTAAAACAAAATTCTACTAAAGCTGACATCCTTGTTTATTATTCTCTCCAAACTCTACTCCTACTCTTCCTTCCCATCCGAAAGAAACTGTATTGTGAATTACGTGTTCATCCTTCCCACCCATGACTATACACTTCTGTTACAAACACGTACAACAGTAAATAGTGTGGTTTTATGTGATTTTGAATTGTCCATAAACAGCATCACACTGTATCTTCTGTAATTGCTTTCACTGGACATTATATTAAGAATTAAACTGTTGGCATATAAAGATCTTTTTTTTTTTAAGATTTTATTTATTTGACAGACAGAGACACAGCGAGAGAGGGAACACAAGCAGGGGGAGGGACAGAGGGAGAAGCAGGCTTCCCGGAGGGCAGGGAGACGGATGCTGCGCTTGATCCCACGACCCCAGGATCATGACCTGAGCCGAAGGCAGACGCTTAACGACTGAGCCACCCAGGCTCCCCCTGGCATATAAAGATCTTAATTAATTTAACTGATACAGTAGTTCCATCTTCTACCTCATTTCATTTATCCATTCATTCGTCTATTGATAAGACATTTGAATTTTGGGGGTGTCTGGGTGGCGCAGTCGGTTAAGCGTCTGCCTTCAGCTCAGGTCATGATCTCGGGGTCCTGGGATCAAGCCCCACGTTGGGCTCCTTGCTCGACAGGGAGCCTGCTTCTCCCTCTCCCTCTGCCGCTCCCCCTCCTTGGGCTCTCTCACTCTCTCCCTTCTCTCTCTCACATATATAAATAAATAAAATCTTTTTAAAAAATAAAATAAAATAATCAACTTCCACATATTTTAGGACTCTCTCGGGCCCCCTCCCTCTTTGGGAGCTTTGTTTTGTTTTGTTTTGTTTTACTTTAAACAAGTAAAGCGAGAGAGGGAACACAAGCAGGGGGAGTGGGAGAGGGAGAAGCAGGCTTCCCGCGGAGCAGGGAGCCCGATGTGGGACTCGATCCCAGGACCCGGAGATCAAGACCTGAGCCGAAGGCAGACACTTAATGACTGAGCCACCCAGGCGCCCTCTTTGGAAACTTTGTATTATCACTTTACTATCATTCAATAAATTTTGCTTTGGGGCATCTGGGTGGCTCAGACTGTTTAAGTGTGTGCCTTTGGCTCAGTTCATGATCCCAGGGTCCTGGTATCGAGCCCCGCACTGGGCTCCCTGCTCAGTGGGGAGCCTGCTTCTCCCTCTCCCTCTGCCGCTCCCCCTGATTGCGCTCTCTCGCTCTCTCTCTGTCAAATAAATAAATAAAATCTATTAAAAAAAAGACATTTGAATTTTTGCTATTACAAACATTTATTTTTTTTTTACAAACATTTTATGCTGCTATGAAAACTGCCTAAATTTCTTCAGCGTATTTATCTTAATATAGACTTTCTTTGGATTATGTGAATATTTAAACTTTCACATTTTGAATATTTAAAATACTTAAAATAAATAATAAATATTTAAAATTGCCATACCACTTACTATACTATGCCATCTACATTTACACTCTCCATAGTTGTAAACGAGAATGTCATTTCCCACATGTCTTTCAAACACCTGAAATTAGTCAGATACTGAATTTTGCCACTGTAATGAGTATGAAATGGTATTTCAAAGTTATTTTATCTAGCCTTTCCTGAAAAGTAGTTATGTTAAGCAACTGCTTATGTTTTTAGAGTTTTCTCTTTTGGCCTATTTTTCTTCCGGATTGTTTAACTTTTTCTTAGTGAGCTCGGAGGACTACCACATGTGTTCCTGATACTGGTCCCTTGATTAATGAATACATGCAATATCTTCTCCCTCTAATTTGTTTGTTCTCTTCTGCTACAGTAAGTTTTGGATTTCGTTCTAATTGTTTAAAATTTTTCTTTTTCACATTTAGGTCTTTAAGATAGCTAGAATTTATTTTTGTTATGTTGTAAAAGGATCTAACTTGATTCCTTTCCCTATAAAAATAGAGTCATCCCAAACCATTTATTACATCTGAATCCTTTTCCACCGATGTGTCTATTACCACTACAACCATATACCACATTCCTATACGTGCATGAATCTGGTTCTGGCCTCCCTATTCACTTCCACTGAACAGGATTAAAAATCCTTGTTCCAATACCACACTTTCTAACCACTGTAGCAAAGGACAAATTCAATTACTTAATATTTTACTCCTCTTTGAAATTCTCATTACAATTTTTTTCAACCTGCCATAGGAGTACCTTCATGGTAGTTTCAAGATTCTTTTCAACTAAACTTTGTTTGACAAGGAAAAAAAAAAAGGCTTATACTGTTTCTGCATCTGGTATTTTCCTTTCACTTTAGTTCTTTCACTCTGAATTTACCAAAAGGTAGCGCGCCACTGGAAGTAGTTCTTTTTTGAGCCTCTGTCTGCCAAACACTGAGAAGCTAATGTTCACTGGACCCAAAATCCTATAGCCAGCACATAAGATTTTTCATTTCCATCTGTAGTACTTCCCTAGTGCTTTTATGGAAGACTGATGATATAGTAATTTAATTAAAATCAAAAAAGAACTGAAAATTTTACTTACAGATGCAATTGTAGCATCTTTTTCAGTGAGTTCCTGTTTGTGTCTAGCCATCATCTCTTTGATCTCAAGCTCCTTCATGATTTTCTCTTTTTCCAAATCAGAATATTGCTCTTCAGCAATTGAACGAGCCAGCTGCTCTGAATCTGCTTTGGTCAAGGTGATCTCCAGTTGAGCAGCCAAGGAGTCCCTACATTTTAATGATACATTATTTTAATGTCCAATTTTCACTAGGAGGTCAAAGTGTTTGTGTAATGCACTTCATCAACAAATTCTTACTTGGAGTATAGTAGGCACTGTTCTAGAAGAGTACATGACTATGAACAAAAGAGACAAGGATCTTATTTTTACCTTTCTTCCTGTAAGTCCTGTTTCTTCTGTTGTAACTCTTTACAAAGTTTGGTCTTTTCTTCACATTCTTCTTTAAGTTCCCTCACCTGTGTTTTATAGAGGGTCTAAATAGCAAAACAGAACAGAAACATGTCATTGCCACCACCACCACCACCACCATCATCATCAATTTTTTTTTACAAAGCAAATCAACTAATAAAAGTTCCACTAGTAATTTAGAAGTTAGATTTTCAACTGGATATCAGACTGAGGTTTCTCATTAAATGACCCCGACTGGCAGAATAAAGAGGCAAAGAAAAATTACTAATTTATCTTTTTAAAGTTTTTTTTAATTTATTTATTTGACAGAGAGAGAGAGCGAGAGCAGGAACACAATTAGGGAGAGTGGGACAGGGAGAAGCCGACTTCCTGCCAAGCAGGGAGCCTGATGCGGGGCTCAATCCCAGAACCCTGGGATCATGACCTGAGCCAGAGGCAGACACTTAACGACACTTAACGACTGAGCCACCCAGGTGCCCCAAAATATTACTAATTTAGACAAGAAAATTTTGTTGGCTTAAATGAAACACAGGTGACATTACTACGTCATATTTTAAAACCGATCTAAAAAAGTACAAACATTAAAATGACAATTTTATATCTTTCACTATGAAAATTCTACCTCAAAAAGCCATCCTTTTTTAAATCAATTTCATAGGGTATTGTGCATTAGAACTATCATTCTAGCAATGATAACAGATCTCTGTTAAGCTATCAACAGTCATTTGCCCAGCTGTTCCTTTTTATATGAATTGTGTGGTACAAAACATCCTATCCAAATCCCTGTCTTGTATTCCCTATAAGAATCTGTTCTAAAGACAAGAATCATTCTCCTAGTTCTGCAGCAAAAAAATTTTTTAAATTCTACAAATGCGGTAATTTTCAAATTAATGTATCTGGAACTTACTGAGAAATACTGCTCTGCTTCAAGTTGATCCTGAAGTTCTTTCATTTGCCCATCTGCATCTTGACGTTCTCTGTGGGGACATTGAAGCAAAGGTTCAAAAAAGCTACACACATAATAAACTAGCAACTCTTGAAATGTGGTCTAGGGAACCACTGGGCATCCCCAGACCCTTAAAAAAAACCCCAAGAGGTCAAGTTATTTTCCTAATACTAATCATCACTGCATTGTTGTTTTAATTCTCATCCTCTCACGAGTGCGTATAGACTTTTCTTGAAGTTATATAACATAATGATTCATCATTCCAACAGTTAATGAATGTGTGTTTGTATGCTCTTGTGTTTTAAAATTTTCTGTTTTAATTTCTAACATAAAAAATATCATTAGATATAACTCACATAAATAAAAAATTTTAAGATAATTTTTAAGAGTATAAAGGGGTCCTGAAATCAAGTAGTGATTAAAGCAGTAATACTAAATTACATATTCTCAAACATTCACTGTAATCAGCCATTTCTGCCAACCAAGTAGAATTAAAAGAGCACCTGAAAATTGGTTATCTTAGGATGACTAAAAAAATGACAGGGAGGGGAGGAAAGAAGTGCTCATTTTTATGTTTAAATGTGGATGTTAAATGTGCACGGATCTGTACATATTATAAAAATTCACTGAGCGCTACATATTTGTGTATTTTTTTCTGTATGTATATTACTCTTCAATAAAGAAATAAAGGTAAATAAAAAATAAGTAAAAAAAAAAAAAAGCAAGCCTAACAACCCATTTAAGAGGTTGGGTTGAAGCAAGTTAAACGTTTGGGTTATAAAAAAAAAAAAAAAACAAACATAAAAATTACAATTATTCCAACTCAAAGCTAAGGGGGAAAAATCAAGTTGGGAGAACAACACAACATATATGATACAATTAACAAACAAAAAAACAAAAAAAAAACCCAAATCTACAAAAAACTCAACCCTATATGTACTTATACAGATGTATATAGGAGAGACAAGTAAGAAGGTATGGAAGGATAACTAACAAACTGCTACTGTTCTCTCTGGAAAGATGAACTATGTCTGCATTCATAAAGGGGAAATGGGGGTGCCTAGGTGGCTCAATCGGTTAGGCATCCAACTCTTGATTTCTGCTGAGGTCATGATCTCAGGGTTGTGGGACTGAGCCCAGTATCAGGCTCCATGCTCAGCACGGAGATTTTTGAGATTCTATCTCTCCTTCTCCCTCCCCACCCCAACATGTGCTCTCTTTCTCCCTAAAATAAATAAATAAGGGGTGCCTGGGTAGCACAGTCGGGTTAAGCATCTGCCTTCGGTTCAGGTCATGATCTCAGGGACCTGGGCTAGAGCCCTGGGTCGGGCTCCCTGCTCAGCGGGGAGCCTGCTTCCCTCTCTTTCTGCCACTCCCCCTGCTTGTGTTCTCTCACCCTCTCTCTCTCTCAAATAAATAAAATCTTTAAATAAATAAATCTTTAAAAAAATAAAAATAAAAAATAAAGAGGAACATATACTGTTTTTCTTTTTAATTATAGTTCTGAGAATTTTATAGGGAGAAAACATTTGAATGCCACTTGGATATTTAAAAATATATACAGGGGGCGCCTGGGTGGCTCAGTTGGTTAAGCGACTGCCTTTGGCTCAGGTCATGATCCTGGAGTCCCGGGATCGAGTCCCACATCGGGCTCCCTGCT